GTACGGGGCTTTTGAAGAAGTGGCTCATCCACCAAGATCCAGGTTTGGGCTTTGCAAGGATGGAGCACCAGGCTCCCTTCTCCGCCGGCAGATTCTCCGGGATGCTCTGGCTCCCTCGCACGCCCTGGCGCAGGAGCGTGGCTCTTGCCCCGGGGGTATCGGCTCTGGGGACGAGGGTATCCGGGCGGGTGATGCTGGGCTGTGCGGGGCAGGGGGTCCCGTTCCCCCCGCAGGGGCGGCAGCTGGAGGCACCTGTGTTGTGGCGGGGAGTCCCGGTGCCGGCGGCTGCGCCGGGATCCCTGGCAGCTGGGGCGCGTCGTGGCCGTATTTCCTCGCTCTGCTCCAGGAGTAATTGCTCAGATGGGGACTTGGGGTAACTCCCATCCCTCTCACGGCATGGTAATGAGTCAAGAAGACTCAAAGACAAATGGCTCATTAAGAAGCAGTGCTGCATTGCAGGATTTTTCATCCCACCAACCGCTGCATCAGCAGAGGCAGCACCTCTCGCGCTCGCTCTCCCCAGCCCTGGAGAAGGAGCTGTCAGGCAGCCGGTGCCGGTGCCAAAATTAATCATGTGCTTAATAACCTGCCCCTCCCGTAGAACAGCCTGTCCTCAGCCTCCCGGCACACGGAGCGGGGTGGCAGCGCTGGGCTTGGGCCCCGGGGCACCGTGGGTTTCGTGCCCGGGAAGCACCCGTGCTCGGCGAGGAGGGATGTGCCAGGGCAGGGCTGAGCCAGGGGAGATGCCCCCCGGCATCGGGGTGCCAGGGCCCCCCCCAGCCCGGCTGCGTCAGGGTGCCGGCCAGGAGTGCTGGGCAGCACGATGCTGCCGGCCCCTCTTGGCGGCCTCGGTAAACACTTCTTGCTCTGCTCACATCTGCAATTCTTCAGCTGGTATTTGTCCTTCATGACTTTTTAAAAATCTTGCCTCATCCCTTATTTACAGCAGCGGCCGGTTGGTTCCTGCCGCTCGCAACCCTCTCCAGGCAGGGCCCACCTGCAGCCTGCTCAGTTTTCTTTCATTAACAGTAATTGAGCGCGTTTGCTGCGATCTTTGCATCCCGCTCACTCTCTTTGCCTGTCCCCTTCCCCTTTCCCCTTCCCCTGGCCAGCCCTTACCTACCAGGATGACGAACCTCTCCTTAATGGCACTCTTCCCTGCCTGACACGACTAATGAACCGTCGGTGAGCTGCTTTCAGCTAATTCAACTTTTAAGAAAATAATGACTCGTCACAGAATTATGTACTAAATTAGGCGATCTCTTACTAAGCCCCCCTTTTTTTTTCAGGCTGAGTAAATTTTACTAATACAGCCTAATAAAATAACAGAGCAATTAGTAATAAAATAAAATGTTTGCTTTCTACAATCCTTCTCGCTTACGACGAGTTGGGAAAAAGTAAATAGATTAAAAGCGTGGTGGAAACGACCTGGCAGTATTCCATATTTATTTTCTTCCGTCGACCGTAGATCAAATTTGCTCAGCTCCTAAGTGGGAAGACCCCTTTTTTTTTTTTTTTTCCCAGGCTCCAGCTTGCGCGTGGTGCCGGGTGCTCACGCTGCGTGTTTGTTCTCTCCTGCTTTCATCCCCAGCTATAAAGATCCCCAGCAGGACCCGTGCTGGCAAAACCTCGCGCTAATTTGCAAAGCACAACGGGCCGAGCTCGTGCCTCTGCCGGTCCGGCGGCTGGAAAAAATCGCTTTGCTCACGCCAGAAAGCCGGGGTGGCGGGAGGAGGCTTTGTGGAGCATACGGCCGGATCCGGAGCAAATCAAAGTCGACGGCGAGGTGGCCGCTGGGCCGGCTCCGGCGCCCGCTGGCAGGGAATTGCATAAGAGGATGGGGCTGGGGATGGTTTTGGGGCTAAGCTGGGCGAAACACGTGTCCGCGGCCGTGCGGAGCCGTCCCCGTCGCTGCCGGTACAGGCAGCGCTGCCTACGGGGCGGCCTCGGGGGAGGAGGAAAGGTTGGGCTGCTGAAAAAATACACGGGGAGTTGGGTCAGGCTGTTCTTGGGGAGGAACACCCTTGCTTTTCCTCCCTGGGCTTCATCCCCCTCGTGTCACTCCCCCCAGAGCCTGCTGCCCCCGGGAGACCCAGCGTGGAGGAGCTGCCGCCGGCCGGGGCCATGAGGACAGCATCCCCCTGAGCGCTGGGCGGTAAGTGCTACCGACGGGCTTCGCCGGGACCCCGGCACACACCGCCCGCGGCTGGGGCTGCTCGGGAAGGGCAGGGGGCTGGGACACCCCCCGGGCGCAGGACCGCCAACCCCAGCTCTCGAGGTTTGACCTGGAAACATTGGAAAACCCAGTCTTGCCCTGCGCCAGGGCGGTTTGCCGGACCCAGACATTGTGGTGAGGTTTTTGCTGTCCCGTCACCTCTCCGCCAGCGGTCCCAGAGCTGGAGGAAAGGTGGGGGGACCCTGGGGTCCCAGGCAAGTTCAGGTTCCTGCTGGCGCTGACCCTGGTCTCTGCAGCCCTGGGCCTCGGCACAGCGCTGCCTAAAAGGCAGAGATCTCACCGGGCGGCTGCTGGGAAGCAGAACCGCCTCTGCCAAGTGCCCCTATGGGAAATTAAGCGGGAGGCTGAATTTCGGCGTGGCCCGCAGTGCCGGGGGGCTATGGGCCCCTCTCCTCCCTGTGCTGACCCTCGTGGCAGGGAGAGATGCGGTGGGAGCCGACGTCAGAGGGAAGGTGGCCGTGGGGGAATCGCCGATGGGAGTTTCTCCAGGCTTTGGATGCAATAAAGGCAAGAAGTGAGTTATTTGTAATGGTAATTATGCTCTTCCAGTTTATCCTAGCACATAATTGTGTGGGCGGTAGGTTCCCACTGGTGGTAATTACCCTGGTGTTAAATGGCACAAAATTCAGCCGGGCTGGGTTTTTTTTTTCCCCCCTCCTTTTTGAGTCTGCAGTTCAGTGGTGCAAATCCCCTCCTTCCCGAGGGGTGCGCGGTGTGAGCGGCCTTCAGCGGGACACGGCTCCGGCTCTCGGCCGCGGCCGTCTGCCCATGAGCCGCGCTCCGGCCGGTTCCCCCTGCCCCTGTGGCAGCCTCCTGCCGGCGCTGCCCACCCTGGACAGGGGAGAGGAGCGGGCTCGGTGGCTTCTCCTGCCCTCTGCGTGTGGCCAGGACGTGGGGACGGGGACCTTGGGCTGCACAGCCTGTGCTGAGACCCACAGGATCGGTCCCGACCTCTTCCCCATCCCCGGGGTACCCACGGGGGGACCGACTGGTCCCTGGCCAGGGCGCAGGCGCCCGCGTGGCTTTGGTGAGCTGGTACTGGCAGATGGAGCATCCTTCACCGTGGCATGTCCCCATCCATTGCCCCTGCTCCGCCAATGCCCGCAGCTGCGGGAGAGCTGCGGCGCTGCCTCGCCGGCGCGGCGACAGAACCCAGCTTTGTTTAATTCCTGCACCTGCTGAGCGCAAAAGCCCGCCGGGCTTGTGGTGACGGGCTGCTCAGCTATTTTGACTCCTTCTTCTCGCCGCAGCGGCAATATTTGGATCAGCTGAGAGCTTCCCTCCCTGAGCAGGAGATGTTAGCTCAGCCTGCGGAGGCAGAGCCGGGGCTGGGAGCCCGTCTGTCTGTCTGTCCGTCCTGCTGCCAATTGCCCGCTCCATCCCAGGGCAGAGGAGGCAGCCCCCTCCCACACCGCTGTGCCCGCTCCTCATAGCAGCTCTCCCAGGAGGGGAGGCATTTCTTTTTGTAACAGGCTGCAGCATCCTTCAGTTAAGATGCAGCAATTAGGGAGCCTCATTAGAGCAGGAGCGTGATGGTGAGGGTGGGGGGAGAGGCACAGGACCGAGCCATCCAGCCTTGAAGCTGGGAATGAAGGTGACGGCGGAGGCTTATTAGGGCAGACGCGTTCCCCGGGTGCTGCTGTGGCCCCATCACAGCCCGCTCGCCACCAACACGCGCTTCCCGGCCACCCCTGCACCCCTCGGGGACCTCCAGCCCCTCTACCCTCCCGGGGCTCCTTGGGGTACATGGACCCCCCCCTCCCCACACACCCCCACAGTGTCCCTCGTTTCCAATCCCCCCGTGTTTAATGGACCCCAATGGGTCATGGGGACCGTCCCATGGTCACTTTTCCCTGCAGCCGGTCTCGCAGATGGGCTGCCTTGCAGCACCCTGCCCAAATATGGATAACAAGAGCATTAACGATGCCTGTTAATTAGCCGAGCTACACTGGAGAATAAGTAATTTCCTCATTTACAGTCATACCAAAGGCAGAGCCTTTGAGGGACTGTAAGGAAGACAAACCCCCACGGGTGCACGCAGCTCCAGCGTCCTGGTGGCTGGCGCGGGGCTCAGCCTGGCTCGATGCCGTCTGTCCTCCTGCTTCGGCGTGGGGATGCCCCACACGCAGCATAGATATCTCCGCTCCCTGGCTTTTCGTCCGTGGGGGCCCGCGGGGCGGCCGGTTGTGGGTCTCCATCCCACGGCCGGGGCCGTGCGAGGAGGATGGGCTGGATGGAGACATCAGAGCGCAGCCCCCCCGCGCCCCGCAGCAGCTCATTAACAGCTCCGTGAATCGCAACGGCTGAAAAACTCAGCCAGAACGGTTCTCCTAATGGAGAAACACTTCATAATATTTGGTGTCGGAGAAGAAAACAAGTTTCTGATGATGGCAGCGTGTCCTCCCTCGCCGTCTGCAGGCCCTGTGCTGCCTGCATCGCTGCCGGCGGCGCCTTCTCCTTCCCGCTCCCCCCTTAGTGCTGCCCCCTCCGAGCAGCCGAGCTGGGGGCGACCCTGGGTGCCCGGCCCCGTGCCCCCCTTTGCCCCACGGAGAGCCGGGTTTATGGCACTCCACCCCAGCCAGGGCTGGATCCTGCCCTGGGAGCTTCCAAACCCCCTCGGTCGGTTCCCGCGGGACAGCCCCAATGTTTCGCCGGCGGTGGGGCGCAGAGGGGAGCATGATGCCGTGCCTGTCCCTGTCCCCACAGATGAGCCCGCAGGGATGACCCTGCAAGATGCCGAGGCTATGGGGTGGGTGCTGACACGATGAAGGTCTACCATGGGGAGCGTAGCCAGGCACAGCCCTCCTCTGGCCACCGCTGCCGCTGCATCCCAGAGGACTGCGAGCACCCTGCCGACTACGTCCAGCACGGCCCCGAGGGCCGGCCGCCGTACCTCCTCAGCCCCAGCGAGCCGTGTTCCCTGGAGCATCCCTACTGCCCGGCGCGGAGCCCCGGCGAGTGCCCGGGCGGTCCCCTGAGCGAGCCGCCCTCCGCCAGCGCCAGCAGCACCTTCCCGAGGATGCCCCACGCGCAGCAGCAGCAGCAGCCCTACGACTCCTGCGACGAATGCATGGCGACCGCCCACCCCGCCAGCAAGATCAACCGCCTGCCCCCCACGCTGCTGGACCAGTTCGAGAAGCAGCTGCCGCTGCACCACGACGGCTTCCACACGCTGCAGTACCCCCGGGCCGGCGGCGCCGAGCCCCGCAGCGAGAGCCCCAGCCGCATCCGCCACCTCGTCCACTCCGTCCAGAAGCTCTTCGCCAAGTCCCACTCCCTGGAGGCGCCGGCCAAGCGGGACTACAACGGCACCAAGATGGACGGCCGCGGGGACGGCTACCACCACCACCACCACCACCACCACCATCATCACCACCACCAGTCCCGCCACGGCAAGCGCAGCAAGAGCAAGGACCGCAAGGTGGACTCCCGGCACCGGTCCAAGATGATGGGCTGGTGGAGCTCCGACGACAACCTGGACAGCGACAGCAGCTACATGGTGTCCGGCCGGCACGCTGCCGAGCAGGGCACCCAGTACTGCGTGGACGCTCCCGAAAGTGCCTTCAGAGACTTGACCTTGAAGAGTCTAAAGGGCGGCGGGGAAGGAAAATGCCTGGCCTGTGCCGGCATGTCCATGTCTCTGGACGGCCAGACGCTCAAGAGGAGCGCCTGGCACACCATGACCGTCAGCCAGGCCCGCGAAGCCTACCCCAGCGCCGGCGGCACCGAGAAGACCTTGATGCTTCAGGAAGCAAAGGCCAAAGACCGAGCGTACCAGTACCTGCAGGTGAGGGGCCAGGAAAGTTGGGGGGGCTGCCGCCCCGGGGACCGTGGCCGGTGATGCCGTGGGGCGAGCTGGGGCTGGCACCCTCCATCCCAGCACCTCAAGGTGCCGTGGGGATGCTCCAGCTCTGCTCCATGTCCCCAGCACCCGTGCCCCGTCCCCCAGGGTCCCGTGCCGGTCCCCGCTGTCCCCTCGCCGGTGGCGTGAAGCCCCGTCTGCCATCTCCTGCCCCGTGCCCGCTGGACCTGGGGTCAGACCAGCTCTGTCGGCTCGGGAATGTCGGCAGCACCGCTCCCGCTCCCGCTCCCTCCTGGCAGCTTTTATCCCGCTTGCGCCTGGCTGGGTGCCATCGCCTGCCTTGTCACCGGGCTCCCTTCTAGGTCACCACCCCCCCCCCCTTCCAATTAAAAAACTAATTAACTCTTCTCTCCCTTTCCCGGGGGAAGGAGACAGGGAGCGGCAATGCCGCGTTGGCCAGGGGCTGGGGGCGGCCGGGGCCTCTCTCTGCCGGCAGCGGGGGCATCAGGGCAGGGTACCGTCCCCACCGCCCTCCCCATGGGGGCCAGGGGACACCGTCCCCCTGCTGCAGCCTGGTAAGGACCCTGTAGTGCTAGTGTCAGCGGCGCGTAGCGGGACTAGCGGCTGCTACGTCAGCCTGGTGGCTGCACTGGCATGGGTGGGATTTGGCCCAGCCCTGCCTGCCGGGTGGGGGGCTGCGAGGTGGGAGCGGCTGCGCCGCCGTGCGTTTTAGAATTGGCCCCCCCCATGGGGCACGGGGAGCCGTGGCTGTTAGGAGGGATCAGCTCTCCCGGATTTAGGGGTTTTCTCAGGGGGTCAGAACCCCCGGGGTCTGTCCCTGCAGCACTGGGGTGCTGCGGGGAGGGCAGGGGAGCCATGCAGTGCATGCACCGGCTCTGGGCCGTGTACATGTGCTGGGTTTGGGCCACGCATGCATGCCAGGCTCGGGCTGGCACGTGCCATGTAGCAGGCACGGGGCTCGGCCGTGCGTCCCAACCGCGGGACCGCGGCCACCGCGTCTTCCCACGCTTGCCTCCTGCTCCAGGTGCCGCAGGACGAGTGGAGCGGGTACCCAGCGGTGGGCAAGGACGGGGAGATTCCCTGCCGGCGGATGCGCAGCGGCAGCTACATCAAGGCCATGGGCGATGAAGACAGCGCCGACTCGGACGCCAGCGCCAAAATATCGCCCAGGGCAGCCACGCGGCGAGACAGCTACCGCCGCTCCTCCAGCGCCGACCAGGCCAGGACCAAGTAAGGGCTGTCGCCTCCCGGCCCCGTCTCAGCACCGCGGGCAGCAGTGGGACCGTGGGCTGGGGCTCCCCAGGAGGATGAGGCGCATCGTCCTCGCTCACGGCCACGCTCCCCAGCTCAGCAGCACCGAGCCCTGCCCTTTGGCGGGCACGTGGCTGTGCTGGGCTTCAGGGTGGGACCCACTGCTGCAGCCACGTGCAGAGGTTGGGGAGAAGATGCACGTTTGAAAGGAGATGACTGGGATGCGCCCCAGTCCCGGCGGGTGACAGGCTGGCTCCTCGTCCCTGGCCCTGTGTCCCAGAGCAGGCACGTAGCCCTCCGGCAGCCCTGCACTGCTGGGGGATGGCTCCGTACCCCCAGGACAGCATTTTGGGGCAGTTAGGAGTGGGGACATCGGCGGTGGCCGGCGGGAGCATCGCCGCGGCTGCGTTTCCAAATGCTCTGCTTGAATATGTTGCTTTTGGTGCAATCCCTTCTATTCCCACTGTCTCTCATTAGGTTTGCAAGTAGGCACTATTCTGATTCATATATCTGTAACTGTCCCAGCTGCTGCACGCCACCACGAATGCTCCCGCGGGGACAGGGCTACGGGCGTTCCTTCACCACCGGCCAGGTAGGGTCCCATGTCACGGGCGCTGTGGGGCAGGTTGGGGCACGGAGCGGGGCAGCAGATGTCCTTCTGAGCATCTCCTGCCCCGCTCGACCCTGGCTCACCGCCCCCAGCCTCACCCACCGCTCTCCCCAGATCAATGACGAGCTCAACCACCAGTTCGAGGCCGTCTGCGAGTCGGTTTTCGGCGAGGTGGAGTCGCAGGCCGTGGAGGCACTGGACCTGCCCGGCTGCTTTCGCATGCGGAGCCACAGCTACCTGCGGGCCATCCAGGCGGGCTGCTCCCAGGACGATGACTGCCTCTCGCTCTTTTCCATGTCGGCCCCCGCCGGGCCGCCCATCACCAGCAGCATCCTGAAGCCCAGCACTTGTGAGTCCCGGGGGTTGGCAGGGGCTCGGCCGCGTGAGGGACCCCCGCATCTCCCTGCCTGCAAACCTGGGCGCCTGCCAAGGGCTGCCACTGCCCCCCCGTCCTGCCCCGTGCAGCCCCCCGGCACAAGGTGTGAGCATCCCACTCAGGGCACGAGCATCCCGCTCCCAGCTCAGCACTGGCACAGGGCACGAGCATCCTGCCTGTGGCTCAGTCCCGCTCAGGGGGCCGCTCTGTGGTCCCAGCACCCATCTGCCTTTCCCTCCTTCTCTCCACTTCTGACCCCATCTCTGTCCCTTGCCGGGTGCTGCAGCGGCGTGGCCAGCGTGGGTCTGGGGTGGTTTCCGATCCCTTTCTGGGGATAAACCGGCCAAACAGTCCCTCTGAGCTCCAGCCAGGATCTCAGCCGGCTGAGGTGCAAACCCTGCGGGGCTGCGAGCCCTGCGCCACGGGAGGAGGTGGGCAGCGTTCCCCCAGGGGCCCCCGTTCGTGGCGGGAAATGAGCAAGTGTCTGTGTTTTCACGTGCCTTTTCATCCTGCGCCTCTCCCACAACAGCCTTCAGTTACAGAAAAGCTCCACCTCCCATCCCTCCAGGAACCAAAGCCAAACCCCTCATCTCCGTCACGGCGCAGAGCAGCACCGAGTCCACCCACGAGAGCTACCTGCCCGGCGAGGTCGCCCGCAGCCCCGCCTGGTCCAAAGATGCCGCGGCCCGCTGCAACTCGGCCGAGAGCCTGGAGAGCTCCAAGGTGACGGCCGTGGCCCTCGACCTGCCTCCGGTCCAGCCCCGCGCCGCTCCCAAGCCCTCCACGCTCATCATCAAGGCCATCCCCGGCCGGGAAGAGCTGAGGAGCTTGGCTCGGCAGAGGAAGTGGCGTCCATCCATCGGCGTTCAGGTGGGCTTCTCTGCGGGCTCCGAGCCGGCTCTGAGCCTCCCCGAGTGGTGTGGGCGACGGTGAGCCGCTGCGCGGCATCTCGGGGCTGCCCTCCAGCGTTCTCCCTCTGCCCCTCGGCAGGTTGAGGCCATCTCCGACTCGGATACGGAGAGCCGGAGCCAGAGAGAGTTCCACTCCATCGGAGTGCAGGTGGAGGAGGACAAAAGGTACCACGCGGCTGGGCTGGGCTGAGACCTGCCACGCTCGCTGCACTGGGGGATTGGGTCCCCTCGGGACTCCCTGAGCTCTGCTTGCTGCCACTGCCCAAAGCATCTTTTCTCTCTCTCCTCTGGCTGAGACCCCCAGAGCTCCGCATTGTCCCCATCCCAGGCCAGTTGCCCCCACCTGGGGCAGGATCTGGCCTTCCCTTTGCCCCTGCACCTCGCTGCTGCAAATGGACTGCCCAGGGAAGGGGGTCCCCTGCTCGGGTCTCCTCCGCTGGGGCTCAGCCCTGAGCTTTGAGCCTGGCCCAAGCACAGATGAAACCTTGGGGTTTTTCTGCAGCTAAACATGACATTTTGGCTGGGGTGGGAGTGCCCCGTGCCGGGACCTGCACGGCCCGCCGGAGGGGAACTCCGGCAACGTGCCCACGCAGCTTGGGTGCACGCTTCTCTCCATCCTCGGTCCAGCACCGGTAGCCATGGAAACGGGCTAAAAGCAGAGGAGATAAGGGACTGGCAGGTTGCGGCTGCTCAGGGCTGTCTCCACGGCCCCAAATGCTCCGGGATCCAGACCAGCATCCCCAACCCCATCCTACCTGCGGGCATCCCTCACGCTGCCCCTGCCCGCCATGGTACCCGGTGGGGAGACGGGGCACCGGGGCTGCCCTCGCTGGCTGCGAGGGTCCCCACGCGCTCTCGCTCTCCGCAGGCGAGCACGCTTCAAGCGCTCCAACAGCGTGACGGCGGGCGTGCAGGCGGACCTGGAGCTGGAGGGCTTCACCGGCCTGGCCGTGGCCACCGAGGACAAAGCCCTGCAGTTTGGGCGCCCTTTCCAGCGGCATTCCTCGGAGCCTGAGTCCGGCCGGCAGTACGCGGTGTACAAGACGGTGCACACGCAGGGGCAGTGGGCGTACCGGGAGGATTACCAGCTCCAGTACGACACGGTGGAGGTGCCCCGGCGAGATGCCTGGATGGAGCGGGGCTCCCGCAGCCTCCCCGACTCTGGCCGTGCCTCCCCCTGCCACCGCGATGGGGAATGGTTCATCAAACTGCTGCAGGCGGAGGTGGAGAAGATGGAGGGCTGGTGCCAGCAGATGGAGAGGGAGGCCGAGGACTATGACCTGCCGGAGGAGAGTGAGTCGGGGAGGTCTGTGGGGTTGGGAGGGACTGGGGGTCCTGAAGAGCTGGGGGGGGGCACAGCCATGGTCCTGTGGTGCTCCCGCCTTGGAGCATCTCCCCTGCCAAGTTTAAAGAGGTTGGGTGGGGGCAAGAAACACCGGGAAACCCTCTGGGACTAGTGGGATCTGGAGATGCCACATGGTTTGGGGGGCGTCCAAGCTGTTCAGGCTGTCCCGCTGACCCCAAGGGGGTGCAGGTTCCCCTCGTGCAGGGGAGAGGCTCCGTGCCCCATGGGAGGGCTGACTGTCTCCTCTCCCCCCGCCAGTCCTGGAGAAGATCCGGAGCGCCGTGGGCAGCGCCCAGCTCCTCATGTCCCAGAAGGTGCAGCAGTTTTACCGCCTCTGCCAGCAGAACATGGTGAGTGCCAGGGACAGCCATGGTGGGTGGGGGGGTCTCGTATCCTTAGCCAGTGGAAAAGGGACTTTGTAACGCCATGGGGGAGAGCTGGACAGAGAGCTGCCCCAGCAGCGTGGAGGTGGGATGGCCACGTGGGCAGCAGAGCCGAGGTCCCGCAGGTGGACGCGGATGACGCTCTGCCCCTCTGTCCCCATAGGATCCCAACGCGTTCCCCGTGCCCACCTTCCAAGACCTGGCCGGCTTCTGGGACCTCCTGCAGCTCTCCATTGAGGACGTCAGCATGAAGTTTGCAGAGCTCCAGCAGCTCAAGGCCAATGGGTGGAAGATCGTGGAGCCCAAGGTAAGGGCAGGGCTCTGCCGCTGGCACTTGTCCCCTGTCACCTCTCCCTCCTTCCTCCTCCCCAAGCACATCTGCGCCCAAACCGCCGCTGCTGGGCTGTCGCTGGCAGCTGCTTTTAGCAAACACTTGAAAAACAGAGCTGGAAAAAAAACAAGGCTAAAGAAGCCCCCGCCGCGGTCTCGCAGATGGCTCGCTGGGCATTTCTGGGCAGCGCTGCCCGCAAGGGGCCGGGCAGGGTCTCGGCACGGGCAGGAGCATCACGCTGCGGACACCTTCACGCCTGTGCAGACAGACGAAGGGACGCGCAGCCCTGCCTCGCGGCACAGGACGGGCGCGGGGCCGCCTCGCCGTGGCTTTGGCTTCACCACCCGTGGCAGCGCCGTGCGCGGAGCTGCACGTCTCGCACGCCCCGCTGGCTGTGCCGAAGCCCACCGGAGACGCCTGTTCCCCGGAGGTCCTGACCCCCGTGCCTGCCCTGAAGCCCCCCGTTATCTGTGCAGGAGGAGAAGAAGGTGCCTCCCCCGATACCAAAGAAGCCGCCACGCTCCAAGGTGCACCCGGTGAAGGAGCGCTCCTTAGACTCGGTGGACCGGCAGCGGCAGGGGGCCCGCCAGGC